GGGAATTGGTCCTGCTTTGAGCAGGGGGTTGGACTAGATGACCTCTTGAGGTCCCTTCCAACTCTGATATTCTATGATTCTATGATTCTAAACAAAGATTGAAAAGTAACTTTTAGCGCAATACAGAAAAAACTGCAAACAATTAGACAAACACGTACAACATAAGATAGAAGAGTGGAGCCAGAGATGGGCTACGTTTGGTGATGCCTAGCAGCTGGCTATGGAGGTGACCAGCCTTAAATAAGAGGCATATACAAGTCCAAAAGCCGATACAAGTACACAGGATTAACTGCAACATCTGCTGTTGCAGACAGACATTTAGGCCCAGATCCTCAACAGGAGTTCTTGGAACCAGTGGAAGTTAGGAGCTTAAATAATTGAGCCCTAGAGCCTTGAGTCATGCTTAGATCTGGGATTTATTCCACTGGTGCTGTCTGTAGATCCATTTGGGAATACAAATCCTAAAGTTCTCAATCAATATTTTGATATTTATTTTCAGAGGAATCAGGCTAATCCTTGGAAAATATATTGCTAGGATGAAAGGTACTAAGGAGTTTTGGATCCAAAGACAATCACAGATTAAAACCACTAGGTGAGAAACACTCCCGAGGAGTACCCATGGTTGTGAGGCCCTCACCACCACTTGCTCTTAGTGTGAGGAAGTCTCGTCTGTGCCTGTCAGGGGTCAGCTCCCTCAAATCACCTGCCACTGGCAAGACAAGCACTGCCCTCCAGGCCTCATCTTCTTTACAGGTTAGTGATAGACACACACAAAACTCAGAGTCCTTGAAGCATTCTCTGTAGTGTCCAGTCCCTTACCCATGGAACACTCACAGAATTAGGAGGCCTGCTGTTCCCAAAGGAACACTACACACCAGCAGATTAGTCTTGTTTTTCACTATAAATATGTCTAAGTTACAAAATAAAAAACCCAATAGATATTCAAGTGATAGTGAGTAAGAGCATTGGAAACCAATGTTTACATATAAAACAAAAATCATAAACACTTTCTAGAGCAGTGGTGGGCAACCTGTGGCCCATCAGGGTAATCTGCTGGCAGGCCGCCAGACAGTTTGCCTACATTTGCCCGGCTGCCCGCAGCTCTCCATGGCCGCGGTTCACCGTTCCCAGCCAATAGGAGCTGTGGGAAGCGGTGCAGGCTGCAGGTTGCCCACCACTGTTATAAAGCCTAAACTTAACTAACAAGTTATCCTCCTGTATAAAGAAGCTTGTGTCACCCAAAGCTCTCACCAGCATTTTCAACCAAGCCTGGAGGAGACCTCTCTTTCATGAAGAGAACTTGCTGGCCATTTACTTCCTAGGTTGTCTTCATCCCCTAAATATACCAGAACAAACCTTTCATATGCACCTCAAGAAAGAGTCCTCCTCATTCCTCCCCTCTCCTACCCCTCCGCTGTTTAATTCTTCCTCTTACCTAACTTTGAAGAGAGATTCACAATCCATGAGCATTAGGTTCAGACTGGTGGCCGATTGTAAGCCATCCAATACTTAATTTACATGTAAACAGCCAGATAAACATTTCTTGCTTGTTTTTCGCCTTTCCTGGTGACCAGTCCCTAGACACAGACCTTAAGAATGTGATTTTCAGTGTATATACTTAACTCCTTACACAACATCCTTACATGTGTTTTGAGTTCGTACTGATGATCAATGTGACACAGGCTATTATTAGAGACTTTATACTCTAGTTCACCAAAGGAGTGTCTTGTGAATACCAGACACAGGAGATCTTTGTGACCCCTATACATCCCTTCTGTGACCCCTTGCCAGCTGGCATTAAGATGTTTCTGGGACATGGTGTGCCAAACTCTT